TATTGGGGATACTGTGAGAGGAGCAAACCATGGCTCGCTTCCTTAGCGGCTTAACCATCCTATCAGCCATCGCCTCGACGGCTTGAACCATCCTATTAAGCATCGCCTCGACATGCTTCCAACTGTTGTTACTATTCTCACTGCTTCCCCATTTCATCAGCCATACGCCTTGTAGTTCGACGAAATTTCCTAATTGTACGCATGAATTGCTTGTTTCAATTAAGTTATGTGTTCTAGTTTAGAGGTTGTTGCAGAACATATTTTTTTTGTTAGTCTACACGATGTATACAAGATGAAGAGTTCGGGACCAAACAACAAGTGGTTAAATAAATTAGTACGCAAAAAAAAAGATATCAGTCCCATTGTCAACTACAGTAATTTAATTTGTTTTATACTGTAGGTTTGAGCTATATAACGTGGAGTCACGTCGGCACCGATGAGATCAGCTTACTTTGTGTAACAGTCTGTCAGGTGACGACTTGACCATGGCGATTGCATGAAGTCTACCCGATCGATCAGTTGACCCTTGATTACATACAGAGCATCCCGAGCTATCTTTGGCAGAACAGAACCCACCACTGCTCCACCATGCCCACGCCCTCGCGATCCCGATTGCTGCCATTGCCAGTCCTCCTACTCGTTCTGGCAGGTGCAGCAGCCATTGTTGGCGAGCAAGATGAGCAGCAGCCGATCACGCACCCGGGATGCCAAGACAACTGCGGCAACATGAGCATCCCGTTCCCCTTCGGCCTGATGCCGGGCTGCTTCCGCGAGGGCTTCCAGGTCACCTGCGACCACTCCTTCGACCCGCCTCGAGCCTTCCTCGCCGGCAGCGGCATGACAACCGCAACGAACACCATCACGCTCAGCGAGTCCGACAGCTCGGCGCTCTTCGACGCCCCCTATCTGGGCCTGGGGTACTCGTTCCCCAACACCTCGACCTGGCTGGTCGAGCTCATGGACGTGTCGGTCGACAGGAGCGAGGCACGGGCATACGGCCCCATCACGTCCCGCTGCAGCACCAACGTTACTCACTTCAAGCTCAAAGAAGAGGCCATGAGTCTGGCGGGGCCGTTCGCCGTCTCGGAGGCGCTCAACGCCGTCGTCGGCATCGGCTGGAGTGTTAGCGTCAAGGACAGCTCGCGCTCCACCTACACGACGACGTTCGCCTGCCGCTCGGAGCTCGCCGCCAGCCATCTCGAGCACGCCAGGGACGGGTCGTGCGCGGGGCGGGGCTGCTGCGAGGCCGCCCTGGGCTCGGAGCCCAGCTACAGCACCGTCGCTGGGGCCGGGCCGGGGGTCAGTGCCGAGAACAACACCCTGTGGAGGACCAGCCCGTGCTCCTACGCTATGGTGATCGAGAAGTCACGCTACACCTTCTCGACGCTGGACCTGTACGGCGACAAGGTGCTGCCGAAGAAGTTCCCCAGGGGCGCCCCGGTCGTACTCGACTTCGCCATCGTCGGGGACGCCGCTTGCCCGGTGAAAGGCCAGCGGCCGCCGCCGGACTACGCGTGCGTCAGCAACAACAGCCATTGTGTCAACGCGACGGTTGGCCAGTCGAGGTACGCACTCAGCTACGTGTGCAAGTGCTCCGAGCACTACCAGGGCAATCCTTACATCGCCAATGGCTGCAGAGGTTTGTCGAAATGTTTTGATCTCCACAGGCTAATAATTTCCATCCTTGTTTAGACGATTTATTAACTCAGATTTCGTATCTTATCCTTGATTTCAAACTTCTGAAGACATCGATGAGTGCAAGTTCCCAGATATATTTTTTTGCTCAAGCAAGGGCATATGTATGAACAGACTTGATGGCTATGATTGTCCATGCAAGCCTGGAATGAAAGGCGATGGAAAATCAGGACACTGTGCAGAAACATTCCCCCTAGTAGCCAAGGCGATTGTGGGTAAGTAAATGGCATGTATATTTATGTATTTCTGTTTAGAAAAATGTTGAATTTTGAGCTTTTCTTTCTAGAATATGTTGTGGTACACTATTCCTGTCTTATTCTCCTACATATCACTAATTTTAGAATGCGTAAATAAGTTTTTATAACTTTAATTGCTAATACACATTTAAACATTTATTTTTTCTACTATATAATATATTTGCATCCTCATTTTATTACCGGATCCGTTCTATGAAATACCTTTATTTCATTATTAGCTATTTATTTATACTAACACCCGTAAAAAAAGCTATTTATACTAACATGTAAACATAAGAACTTAGTGTTGGATGTTTATATTGGATAGCTTTTCTTCAAACTTCTTGCATAGCAAGTTAATATATCTAAAACATAAAATTAAACATATTGAAATAGTAAGTCAAAAGGGTGAACATGGGCAACTAGTTTTAAATTGGGGTCACCTAGTATGAGAGGATGGCCTGCACATTTGCCGTCATCTTTGACCAAATGTGGAACCTAGTGTGAGCTTTCATGGTCCTCCTCTTAGGGCACTCACAATGCATTGTTTCTTATTCACAAAAATAAATATATACGTTGTTTCTTAAGTTGTCATCCTAGCTGTGATAGATTTGTAGAGACAACCACCCAAGTGCATTATCTCTTAGGGCAGTCTCAATGCATTATATTTTAAGCTATATTGTTGATGGTGTTATTTCATTTTATACTGTATTTCTACTAGATCATTTATTGGGAACTTGTGAGTAAGTTTGTTTTGTCCATGCAGGCACAATCGGTTGTATTTTTGTCATTGTAGTTATGTCATTTCTACTTCTTCTTAGCAAAGAGAAAAAGAAGACAAAAGAGTTCTATGAAAAGAATGGTGGGTCTACACTAGAGAAAGCAAAAATTATAAAACTTTTCAAAAAGGGTGAGCTCATGCCTTATTTGAAAGATACCAATTTTATTGGAAATGGTGGTTTCGGTGCAGTTTACAAGGGCATCCTTGGTGATGAATTGGTTGCAATTAAGAAGACGATTAATGGTAGTCTGCTGGAGAATGAACAGTTTGCAAATGAAGTCATCATCCAATCCCAAGTCATCCATAAGAACATTGTCAGGCTCATAGGTTGTTGTCTGGAAGTTGATACCCCATTGCTAGTATATGAGTTTCTTTCCAATGGTAGCCTCCATGACATTCTTCACGGCAACGACAACAAACCTTTGAACTTGGATACACGTTTAAGAATTGCTGCAGAATCTGCAGATGGTCTAGCTTACATGCATTCAAAAACAAACACCAAAATCCTACATGGTGATGTCAAACCAGCAAATATACTGTTGGATGATAGGTTTGTTGCCAAGATTGCAGACTTCGGCATATCGAGGTTGATTGCAAGAGACAAGCAACACACCGCAAAAGTCATCGGTGATATGAGTTATATGGATCCAGTATATTTACAGTCAGGCTTGCTAACTGAAAAGAGTGATGTCTATAGCTTTGGAGTTGTGTTGTTGGAACTTATTAGTAGGAAGAAGGCCATGCACTCTGATAACAACAGCTTAGTCAATAGTTTCATTGGAGCTCATAGAAGAGGGGAGAGGGCAACCGAGTTGTTTGACAAAGAAATTGCTGTAGGAGAAGATTTGGAGATTCTTCAAAGTCTAGCAGGGATGGCAATCGAATGTCTCAGCCTTGAGGTGGATCAAAGACCAGACATGACAGATATAGCACACCGCCTTCTCATACAGAATAATTCGCGTAATGCATAAGTTGTTTCAAGTAAGTTGTTTATTTAGTTAACATATATGTATGGCGTCAAATAAGGACAATTCACATCAACAATTTTTTATTTTGCTATTTTGAGCATAATATTTTCAATAGATGTAGGGGATGTGTCCATCAATTTCATGAAATTTCTTCTTTCACTATAACTCACTCATTGTGCCATATTTTGAAGTTACCAAATGTATGTATTGCATGGATTCACCATTTGTTTTCTAAATGTATGTATTGTGCTACACTGGAACATGGGTACCCAATAGTGCAGTATAATGAAGAATAATTGCACTATGGGCTAATCGGCCGACGATTTTCAGCTCATCCAGCTTGGCTTCAACGGAAGGGGAAGAGCAATGGCCTTGTTGGAACCCGAGCGGCGGCGACCTACCATGCACTACTCTTCCTTGCTGCCGGCGGCGCCCATGGACTTGCCAACTTCGTGGTCATGGGGGTGGGGCGCGGCCTTGGCGGAGCCGGTGATGTCCACCTCCTCGTCGCTCTTGTCGAACACCTCATCTGCCGCCTCGTCCATCTCCTTGTAGGCGGCCTATAATTTCACCTGACATTAGCGATACCGTTAGCAGACGCGACGGATGTCACGGGTGGAGCGTTAGGAGTCGAGCGGTGCCGCCTGCTCCGCCAGGTCTGCGTCCGATGCTATGGCCATGTCAATGATGAGTTGCTCCTCCGCTTGTTGATGCTCGTCGAGGAGATGGAGGTTGTAGGCTTGGTCGGCCCGCGCCTCCCGGAACTTGGCCTCCCGCTCCTCCCGCACCATGTCCATATAGTGGGCACGGGCCTCGTGATGGTGATGCCGGCATGCATCGGCGAGGAGGGTGACACCAGCTCGTCCTCTACCACACCCCCCATTGGGACATCATTGACCTTTGTCTGCCTGCCGACCTGCCAACCCACAGCAATGTCGGCCATCTCCTTCTTCTGGTCAGATGACAGGCTATCCCAGAGGGATTTAAAGCGCGAGGAGGCTGTGGTGGGTGTGGTGCGGAGAGGAGAAAGGAGTCGTAGGATGATGACTATGGCTATGGCCGGGGTTGGAGTTTATATAGCGGGCGGATGGCAATGGTCGACGGCAGACAAACAGATGGGTGGAGCCGGAGTAGGTTCCTCGGCAACCACATATTGTTAATGCAGGGCGACTGACCGCCGCGGTGTCATTTGAATGCGGAGCAGTCACGTGCACCGAGAAGTGGCAGGCCGACGCTCTCTCGGAGCTTCAATGCCGGCAACAGTGAGCGGCCGCGTTCTCTCTAGCCGGGCATGAATGCGGCACTAACCCTCTAGAGCGGCGCTGACCGTTGAGGGCAGGGACTGCGCACGGGCGAGGCAGCGGGTTAATGGTAGGCCAGGGCAGTCAAAAGCGGACGTGGCAGCGGTCCAGATGCCCGTAAATGCCCCTAGTTTGTCTCCGATTTACGGGGAAAAGTGTGTCCAAACTGCCAAGCGGACCAATATAGGCCCGCAGACGGCAGTTGGGGTCTGCTTTGGAGATGCTTGAGGTCTTTGCTACTGAAAGCTTTGCAAGCAATCACTCAAGAAAATAAGCTTTGCAAGCTGCTGCTTCTTTTCTTACTTCTCAAAAAATAAAATAAAATACACTTCTTCTTGAGACCTTTTACGTTGCATCAGGTCTATGGGGGCCGTTCATTTTTTGTGGTTTCAGGGTCTAGATTAGCCAGTACTATAGCAGGTTTTCAGTAGTATATCGATCAATTAAGGGCATTTTAGGTAGTTCACTTTGTTCATCAATCTCGTTAGGCAGGTTCACGCATGCAGGTTTATACCCGCCATGGCCAAACCTTCCTCCCGTTGTCCAAGTGCCATCCTGTAGCGAGTTGCAATGGCCAAGCTTGACATGCGACCTGTCGTTGTCATCCACGGCGAGCTCCCATGATGGCCTCCTCGGGAGGTGGCCTAAGATGAACCGAAGCCGAAGCCGACGTCAAGCATGTCGCCGGCCGGACACCTCGGGCTCTTGCTGGAGGCCGCACGCATGGCGTCGATCTCCAGCTGGATCCGCCATGCCGTCCACTCCTCCGCTGCCGTCTACGTTCATCGGCTGGATGAGGCCCAACGCCTCCATACAAAAGGGATCCTCCTCGTTGCCGTCGTTCATACCCGGCCAACAAGGGTCTGCATGCATGTCAACGGAGAACTCCATGGGCTTGGGGGCCTGAAGCTTACGTTGTTGCCCGGGAAGAACTGAATGTTGGCGCAGGCGCGACTCATCGCGGCAATTTCTTTCTGGCAAAGAACGCATGTATGAAGCGAGCACAAGCAGGTTGATTGATACACATACATGTATGTATCGATTCTGCCAGCCGGACATGCAAACAGAACGCAGGCGGCGGCGAGAACACACGCTGGTCCAATCTCATCGAGAACATACCCAGGCGACGCCGGATGCGATGGGATTAATTTAGTTAATTTGATTACCCCTGATACGGAATTACCAATATAACCTAGAGCAAAACTTTGACTTATCCATACTAACCGTTGGATCAACTAAATACTACCCACTATTTTAGGTAGTATGATGCACCGTAAAAACTCCCTTCTTCTTTTTATTTTTATTTTTTAAGGAATAAGAGCATCTACAACCGGGCATCTCAAACCCGCCTCAAACACTCGTGTGGGGTCCAGTGACCGGTCAGAAAAATCCGACCTAGACGGGCGCCTCAAACGGGCCTTAAACGCCCGAGATGACCGGCACCCCTCATATCCAGCCCAGACATGGAGAGGATATGGGGAGGCTTGGACGCGACCTGGAGTGTCCGCCGTGTCCGACTAACGGCTGGGTTCCACACAAAAACACTCTGAAACCTGGCGGTCTGAAGCTTGTCTCCTCCGTCACCGCGTGGCGCCGCTCTGCGGGCCGCATAGTGCCCTAGCCTGGCTATTTAAGCCGACCGCTGGCACCAAAACCTTACCCATCGACATTGCCCCCCTCCCGTCCGCTGCCACCATCACTTTCCACTCACCGTCCACCACTAGTATTAGCCATGCATCCACGCCGCTGGGTAAGGAGCTACACATATCTAACGCCGGAGCACCTGCTGCAGCTCCTTGAACATATCTTGGCAAGGCACGAAGCTCGGATCGCCGCTGGGCTACCTCCGAACTCGGTGGATTCGGAGGAGGACTTGGAGGAGGACGAGGACGAGGACAAGGAGGATGGGGAGGACGCGAAGTAAGAGGAAGAGCAGGAGGAGGACGGGGAGAGTGCGAAGCAGGAGGAGGACGAGAAGGACGTGGGGGCGTGGGGGACGCGGATCTGCATGCGATCCTCGATTCCCTCCGGCCAGAATCGGCGGTGGAGGCCAAGCGCCGTCGTCTGCAGGAGGCGGAGGCAGAGCACACCGCGGACGTCAAAGAGATGCTCGCGTATACAAATGAGGAGGAGGAGCCAGAGCCCTCCTACGCTTCCATCTACCCGGTGCCCGACACCGACGTTGTGGACATTTCAGACGAAGTGTAGTTAGGCTAGTGTGATGTGCATAGTACGTATGATTTTTTTTGCATGTTTTATATGGAACTAGTGGATGAAATATGAGGTACTTGGATGTATAGCACCATGTATTAGATGTGACCTGTCAATGCCGCCGACGTGCCCGATAGCGTCTGCAAGCATTTGAAGGGCCAAATTTGTCTAGTCCGGCTATAAATGCTCTAAAGCTGCAGGCTTTATTTGGCAGAGCGCAAAAAGGGGATGTACTTCACAAATTGCAACGCAACATTTGGGCTCGGAAAGGAATGACAATGGGGGATTCTATGTCCTAGAGATCAACTCCCGCTTTTAACCCACGAACAATATGAGTCTGAAACTTCTTTCATACAAATTTTATGAAACCGTGTGCGATGGCTCGAATTCTTATTCAATCTTATACTCAGGACTAGCAGCGGCCCGAGAGCAAACGTGCCGATGCTTGCATGTGCCTTTGATGCTCATTGTGTTCCTAACACTTCTCAGGCACACGTCAATACTTCTATTCTACGCTGGTTGTGGTCGTTTGATGGGGAGACGTCCTTTTATTGCGATAGACTCACCATTATTCATTGCCACAAAATATTTGGTCATGATGGGAGTTATATTCATTTTCCTTACTTCGATACATTTATTTTCCATACTACTCATTTACTTTGATTATGGGTTCATGTAAATGAATCTATCTAACATCTTATTGCAGTGAGAAATCTCATATACTAGTCTCATTAATATGATACCACCTTCATAGTGCATAGTAGGAGTATCATAGATGACCTTATTTATCATCATGCATGACTCATAGTAGCACATCATTTAATATAACACAATATCATATCATGATACTCAATCATCTCATTCTTTATTTAATTATATGTCATCTCATCTAAACCGCTTAGTTGACATGCATGATACTTTATAGTATGATACCCCCACTCTAAGCAGTTTTAGCCTGGTCACAATGGGAAGTATCATATGCATGATACTAGTGTGTGATACTACCTTCACAATGCATATTATCATAGATTGGTATCACGGGAATCTTATTTATTGTCATGTATGACACATATTGGTACTCCCTCCGTTCCTAAATATAAGTCTTTTAGAGATTCTAATATGGACTACATACGGAGCAAAATGAGTGAATCTACACTTCAAAATATATTTGTATACATCCGTATGTAGTTTAAAATATTGGAATCTCTACAAAAACTTATATTTAGGAACGGAGGAAGTACATCATTTAATATGATACAGTATTATATCGTGATACTCAATCCTCTATTTTCTCATTTAATCGAGTGTCACCTCACCAAAAATGATTAGTTGGCTCGCATGATCAGGGCCGTCTCCAGGAATTTCAGGCCCCGGTGCGAACTTTAAAATGGGGCCCTAAATTTTTAAAAGCCTTATCATTAAACAAACTAATATGACTAACGCATACTATCACTTAATTTTTTTTGAATATTTGTTATTTGACACAACATT